ATGATTTGTCCTGTGAGTCACACTTTATTATGATATACTTTATTTGATCCCTACATGATTTGTCCTGTGAGTCACACTTTATTATGATATACTTTATTTGATCCCTACATGATTTGTCCTGTGAGTCACACTTTATTATGATATACTTTATTTGATCCCTACATGATTTGTCCTGTGAGTCACACTTTATTATGATATACTTTATTTGATCCCTATATGATTTGTCCTGTGAGTCACACTTTATTATGATATACTTGATTAAGTAGACTATTATGATATACTGTATTAAGTAGACATGGGGGGGAAATGTTATTAAACCAAGTTTAACATGAAATTTTCTTTGCAGATCCACATAAAAGATTATGTAGCTTCAGTATTAATTATGTAGCTTCAGTATCAATTATGTAGCTTATTGTGAAATAAAAGCAGATATGCCTTTTTAAGAATCTGAGGCTTTACTTTATTAGCGGTAATACAACATTTGATATACAATTACCTATTGGGAAGGCGGAGTATAACATCCTGAATCAAGTCTTGTGCCCCATCGTACACAGAATCATTGCCCTGTTTTCACCGCAGGTCATTCTGTCGGAAGATATCTTTGATAATTTGTCACCTATGACTGCCACCTTTTTGAACATGTTGGGATGTTGGTGTTTTACTTGCTGGTTGGAATTGCTTGCTTTACTATGTATTAACTTATGTCCTTTTGGTCATTTTTGATATCAAGTTTTTTGGGAGCATAACTCCCTTGCTATTCACCTACATTCGCTTAACATTTCTTTGACCTAATTTTACATAATTGTACATATCTTTAGATATTAATTTTCCTATTGACATAATTTCTGAATAGCATAATGGAAACATTAATTGGAGCAGCGAGGATTATGGATCCACATTCCTGTGTCTTTATTTTAAGACTTTTATTTATTGATCTTACAAAATCATAATGCAAAGCATGCTTCTCCTGCTTTACAGAAACTTGGCCTGTGTGCAACATCTAAGACAGTAAAGAAAACTGAACCCAGGGACACCAAGCTGTACTTCAAGAAGCACATCATTGCTGAGAAAAAGTGTGACCAGGGACCAAAATACTGGTGTTCCTCAATGTCCAGAGCCAAGATCTGTGGGGTAGGACTTACATTAACTTGAGAATACTATCAGGGGAATAAGTTAAGATGTATAGATAAAATGTATTTCATAGAGATAGAAGGGAGAGATTAAGATATTAAGAGTGTTCAGGGTCGTAGAAGGGACAGATTTTGTATATTGTTCCTTTCACACTTTCTTACTAATCTACCGGCTTGAATTTTTATTTGTTTTGTTTACTTTCCAAAATTTTAAATATACTTATTGTGTAAAAGTTCATGCAGACATGTTGTGGAAGAGAATGATCACCTCTTTGATCTTTGTTTTTTCAGAAAGAGGATTATTGTTTGAAGAGAAACTTGATCAACAATTTGGTGTGAGAACAGTGATTTTCACAAGCCGTCCCTACCAACATCTTATGAATTTGCTGTGAAAAAAAGAAACAGCCAGGAAGGATTTTCAGCACTTGCGTCCTATCATGTAATTGTTTACAGTACAAGTTTAGACTCTTAGGTGAAAAGTGCTTTTTTGGAAAGTTTTATATTTCAAACAATGGAATTAGAAAATTGTAAAAAAAATGAGACTTAAATAATTAAAAGTAAACATTCAGTTTTTCCAGATAAAATATTCAAAGAATCATGTGGTTTTTTTTATACGTTTTATGTTTGTGGTTTTTTGGCGATTGCTACACCCTGTAGGACTCCATGTTTGTGTTTTTCTTTAAACATGTTCATTATAAATTATCGTTTCTATGGTAACACATTTACTCTGTGATCTTGCCTACATAGATTTCAATCCTTCCGTTGTAAACCAATTTACTATTGAATTTTGTTAATCTGGACATTTCAATTTTGGTTTAAAATAGTTTAAATTAACAGGTTTTCCAGGGTCAAAGATTTGAAACCTAGTTGTGTCTGTAAAGCAGGATATCCAGATAAACAGTGTTCCTTACAATGGCCATAATATTTACTTAAGAGTTGACCTTGTCGGAGTTAAAAATTGCATTTTACTTTATCTAGATCTGCAGTGGCCATTTTACTTAAGCTAGATCTGCAGTGGCCATTTTACTTTAGCTAGATCTGCAGTGGCCATTTTACTTTATCTAGATCTGCAGTGGCCATCTTACTTTTTGCTTTATCTAGATCTGCAGTGGCCATTTTACTTTATCTAGATCTGCAGTGGCCATTTTACTTTATCTAGATCTGCAGTGGCCATTTTACTTTTTGCTTTATCTAGATCTGCAGTGGCCAATCTTTTCTTTCATTAGTGACTTTTTGCCTCGGCGTCTACAGGATCAAAAGCATCAAGCGTGTATGCAATTTTATAGAATATTTCTATTTGGAACCTTTTTAGACTTAAAAATCAAGTCCTCGATGAAATCCTTGTAACAAAATCCCAGGTTGAATAACAGTCAATTGTGTTCCTTAACCTGTAGAGGATGTATCACATTACTGATATCTGTAGAGAGTGCCAGGTCAGGTGTGTAAGTGGAGTGTGACTGAACACAAGCCTTGCTGGTTAGGTCGTGAGGAAGTGGTTTATACAATATAACCTTGCACATTTTGTGATGTATTTTTCTACAAGTTGAAATTAATTACAACCAGAGTAGTTGAATTTGGAAGAATTTTGATGACCTCAGAAATGTGAAAATATCAATGGGAAATTGATACAAATGTTATATAATTGGTCTCCAAGTTATCTTATACTTACAATAATGTATATATCAATGGATAATTGATCCCTAACTAACTAAGAGTTCTAAGAGGAGATGGGGAGTTATCTATCTAAGTACATACAAGTACCATGATATAGGCCAGTGACGTTACAGTACTGGTCAATGTCAAGTGGTAGAAAAGGACATTTTATCTGAGGAAAAGGTAGACAAAACTTCACGCCTCTTTTTATATGAGCTCGCACTGTAGAGCAGTATGTCACACTTGCTGGTACTGTAGTATTTCTGTGGCTGTAACATGGTACGAGTACTGTCGAGGTATGAAGGGTGAGGTATTACACACCCTGATCTCGTGTGGGATCACTAGCTTTTCATTAAACCATAAGACCACAAAATTTACATCAACATAATTTTTATTTAGAAGTGTAAAAAAGAAATGTATATGTTGATGAAATGTGAATTGCGTGATACGGGATCAGATACATTCTATGTTGGTTTATCACATCAATGTGGTACCAGTCGCCGTAAGCCGAGAAATCCTAGAACATTGCTGTGAACATAGCTACACCACCCATGCTATTTAACATTCCTTTATAAAAATAATATCAACTCAGTTCTGTTTATCTATGTGGTATTTTTTAATAAAATTAACTACAGAATTGTTGAGTTTGTTTTCTTTTCTATTATGGTAAAATTAATGATGCATTGCTGTTGTCTCGAAGACTGACTGTTGCCATGCTAATATGGGATGTTGTCTGTAAGTCGGGCAGGTCTAGGCCATGCTAACGTGGAATTTTGTCTAAGTCGGACTGGTCTAGGTCATGCTTGCATGGGATGGTGTGAATATAAGTAAGGCTAGTTAAGGCCATGCTAACATGGGATGTTGTCAATAGGTCAGGCTGGTCTAGGCCATGTTAATATGGGATGGTGTCTGTAAGTCAGGCTTGTCTAGGCCATGCTAACATGGGATGTTGTCAATAAGTCAGGCTGGTCTAGGCCATGCTAACATGGGATGTTGTCTGTAAGTCAGACTGGTCTAGGCCATGCTAACATTGGATGTTGTCAATAAGTCAGGCTGGTTAAGGCCATGTTAATATGGGATGATGTCTGTAAGTCGGGCTGGTTAAGGCCATGTTAATATGGGATGGTGTCAATTAATCAGGCTGGTCCAGGCCATGCTAACATGGGATATTGACTAAGTCGGACTGGTCTAGGCCATGCTAATATGTGATGTTGTCTGTAAGTCGGGCTGGTTAAGAACATGCTAACATGGGATGTTGTCAATAAGTCGGGCTGGTTAAGGCCATGTTAATATGGGATGGTGTCTGTAAGTCAGGCTTATTGACACCGTTCCATGTAAGTCGGGCTGGTTAAGAACATGCTAACATGGGATGTTGTCGATAAGTCAGGCTGTTCTAGGCCATGTTAACATGGGATGGTGTCTGTAAGTCAGGCTGGTCTAGGACATGCTAAGATGGGATGTTGTCTGTAAGTCGGACTGGTCTAGGCCATGCTAATATGTGATGTTGTCTGTATGTCAGGCTGGTCTTGGCCATGCTAATATGTGATGTTGTATGTAAGTCAGGCTGGTTAAGGACATGCTAATATGTGATGGTGTCAATAAGTCAGGCTGGTCTAGGCCATGCTAACATGGGATGTTGTCTTGTAAGTCAGACTGGTTAAGGCCATGTTAATATGGAATGTTGTCAATAAGTCAGGCTGGTCTAGGCCATGCTAAGATGGGATGTTGTCTGTTAGTCAGGCTGGTCCAGGCCATGCTAACATGGGATGTTGTCTGTATGTCAGGCTGGTCTAGGCCATGCTAACATGGGATGTTGTCTTGTAAGTCGGACTAGTTAAGGCCATGTTAATATGGGATGGTGTCTGTAAGTCAGGCTGGTCTAGGCCATGCTAACATGGGATGTTGTCTGTAAGTCAGGCTGGTCTAGGCCATGCTAACATGGGATGTTG